TTAAAACCAGGAAATGAACCCTTCCGTCATCCTCAAATCAAGTTGCAGAGTGTGGGAGAGGCCTCCGGGGCTGGGGTCGGGGGTCAGCGCAGGGGGTATGACGGCCACAGCCATGCCACGGCTTGCACACCGCTGGCCCCGGTACCTCCCATTGATGGGTGTGTCAGGCAGCTGGCTGAGGCGAGGCACCGAACCTGAATGACCAGGTGTGCCCGCAGGGTTCGCAGCCCGCACTGCCCGCCCCACGCCCCTCTGAGATTAGCGACCTCACCAGCACTAAGTGCCCCGGGCGGGGATGAATCTCAACCCTGCACCTTTGGAAACGAAGGGTAGTCCTGGCCAGGGCTGTAAAATTCTTACCTCCTTCCAAGTCTTCCTCCTCCACCTCTGAACAGGCCTTTGCCGGGAGCCTCCAGCACCACCCACCTGCGGTTCCCACCTGAGCACGCCCCTCCCCTGGCTTAAACTCACCTGTCAGCCACCGCACCCCGTGGCTCCGCCCCCTATTAGCCCTATAAAGACTGACCGCCCCACCCCCACCAGCCCCCAGCTGTGCTTAGTTTGGAATAGAAACTCCTGGGAGCCCTCTGGCATAGTAAGTTGGAGTTTTCTTACTTCCAGTGTCTCCCTTGGTCTCTCTCCAATCTGTTTTTCCGTAACAATTGATGGGTGAGGCATAAGTAGACAGACTCGGAGCCTCAAAGGTCCAGCCAGCTGTTTGGAAGTTTCCAGGACTAGGGGATGAGCTTATTCCTTTCTGGGTGGGAGCCAACTTCATTTAAATTAAATAGACATTCAGGGTACCAAGAGGCCAAGAAGCTGGCCAAAGGGTTGGCTTTTCTTTTCTGGAAGAGAACCACCTCCAGATGGTCCCTGCCCCCGTCCCCCCTTCCAGCCACTTCAGAAGGGAGATTTTTTTTTTTTTTCTTCAAAGTGGTATTAATGGGGTTTGAACTCAGCATCTTGTGCTTGCTAAGCAAGCATGCCTCCAGCCCTTTTGTGCACTGGTTTGGTTGAAGTAGGTTTTTACTTCCTGCCTGGGCAATGTCTGCCACTTCCTGCTTATAGCTGGGATGACAGGCAGTTGCCACAGTGCCCAGCTGTTCATTGGGAAGGAGTTTGGCATGTACATTCAAGCTGGCCTCAAAGCTTGATCCTTCTGATCCTGGCCTCCCAAGCAACTAGCAGTACAAGCATGAGCCACCAGCATGAGCATGAGGAACCACCATGGTTGGTTTTCTTTCGGCAGTACTGAAGACTGAACTGAGAACTTTCCACTTGCAGGCAGGTGCTTCATTGCTTGAGCCTCTCCATCAGCCCCCTTTGCCCTGGTTATTGTACAGGCCTGGACTTTGATCCTCCTATTTGTGCTTCCCTTGTTTGCATGATAGATATGTATAATGGCCCACCATTCGTTGAGATGGAGTCCTCAGAACTTTTTCTTCCCACGGCCTGGGACTTCAATCCCCGATTCTCTAACTCCCAAGTAGCTAGGGTTACAGGCGTGAGCTACCAAGCAAGGACTTGCCCAGCAAGGAATTCCTCTTTATTCCGACTCCCCAGTGACTCATGTTCTCCTGCAGAGGACAACTGAAGAGGCAACAGGGAAAGGAAAAGCCGGGACGGGCTGGGAAGGCGGCTCCGTGGGAGAGCGCTCGCCAGCACGCATGAGGCCCTGGGTTCCAATCCTCAGCACCACACACACAGAGCAAGCCAGAAGTGGCGCTGTGGCTCAAGTGATAGAGTGCTAGCCTTGAGCAAAAGAAGCTCAGGGACAGCGCCCTGCCCTGAGTTCAAGCCCCGGGACTGGAAAAAGAAACAAAAATCAGGAGGCAAGAGGAGGGCCTGGAGAGAGCATGGGAAGCTGTGCTTAGAACAAGTCTCTACCTGCACGCACCCCGGGAAGCCGCTGTGTCCTAATCCCTAGGACTTGTGTCCGTGCAATATCACACCGAGATGTGGTTAACTGTGTGCTCTTGGCTGTGGTACCTACACACGCACTCGGCCTTGGCCTGGAGGTCTCTGAAAGGAGACACACACCCAAGCAGGTTGCCCTTCACAGCCAAAGAAAAATGTGCACAGGACCTCGAGACTTCCAAGACAGCCCGGGGCTTCCAGGGTCTGCAGGCTCGGCAAAGTTGGACCTGCCCGCGTGTCTTTGATTACATGAAGCCATTCCTTAAAATAAATCTCTCTCTGTACAGATACAGATCTTGTAGACATCTATCTACATATTTTTATAAATATATATGCACCCTGCATCTCCAGAGGATCCTGATTCATCCTCCTTGAGCAAGGGGGAATTAAAGGTGCGGGTGGAATTGACTGTGCTAATCAGCTGACCTCACGCAGTGAAGATACCCTGAGAACGCAACCAAGCCTCCACCAACCATGGCTGGTTGTGAAGATGGAGGGAGAGGCCACAAGCCCAGAGGGCAGAAGGTAGACAAGGCCAGGAGATGGATTTTCCTCAACATCAGGAGGATTCCAGTCTGGCCGACAGCTCTGACTTCTGGCCTCCAGACTGTAAGATAACAGTTGATATAAAAACTTCTGGGCTGTGGTCAATGGGAAATGAACAAAATCTCAGAGAAGCCAGCCACGCAGGGTATGGTGAGGTTCACAATCAGGATTCAAACCCAGACCTGTCCAATTCCGTTACCCTCTATCCTCACCCAGAAGAGAAGCTGCTCTTTAAATGTGGGTATCAGGGGAGGGCTGATGCCAGAGCCCTACTTCCGGCTGCTGGCTCACAGGACCCCCACAGGAAAGCTCTTTAGGGAACTGCAGACACCACTGGCAAGCAAAACAGCAGCTCTGAGCCGTGCTGGGCTCCCAGGAAGGAGGAGACCCCTAGCCCTGCGGCAGGATGCCACCCCCTACCCCCAACCTCACGGGTTGCTGAGCGGGGTAGAGCCCAGGGCCTGGGTTTAGAGCTCAGAGCCAGGTGACTGAGAAAGGCCGCAGGCTGAGATGCTCAGACACTGAGCTTTAGGCCCAACCATTCTACACAGCCAGAGGGTGCTCTACTGGCTCATCTGGCCAGTACCATCTTGCTGCCAAGTGGACAGTGCCATCCATCCCAGGAAGCGGGAAGACACACAATTGACCCCTCCCCCATTGAGAGCCCTTGGCTGGAAGGAAGCCTGTATTGGTGGGGTGCCTCAAACGCAGGACCATCTGAGGGTACAAGCACCTGCCAGTCACTTGGCTGGGTGGATGACTTCACCAAGCAGCTTTGAACGGCTCTCCCCTCCCACTGTGTAAGCTGTGTGACCTTGGCCAGTTGCTTAAACTCCTGGTGTCTCTGCTTTCTCAACCGGAAAATGCAGAGTTGATAGCACTTACCAGAATACATGAAGTGACAACTCATTTGTCAAATTCTCAGCCCAGTGCACCCCACCCTCAAGGGCAGTCAGCGGGAAAGCCACCGCTGGTCACTTGCTCTGTGCTTTGTCTCCCATGGCCGCAGCTGGCTGGAGGCCGGCAGGAGCCCAGCCCCAAAGGTTGTGGGGCCCAGCTCTCTACCTCTCATGCTGGGCCAGCCCTGGGGACTCCAGGAAGAGAAGAAGAGACCCGGTTGATCTTCTGCATCTCACATCCCAATAAAATATTTATTATTTCAAGAAATAAATCTTTAAAAAAAGAGAGAGAGAAAAGAGTATCTCTATTGCTTTCCCCCAACAGGCCAGGTCCTTGGGAAGGAGAGCCTTCTGGGGGCCGCAGGGCCCGGCCAGGCCTTCTGCCCCCCATCTCCCCCCCAGCCAGGGCTCAGCCCTCCTCCGTCGCGCAGGGCCCCCAGCTGCCTCCTGGGGGGGGAGGGTCCAGCCGGCCCGTTCTCACGTGGGCAGGCTGGGTGGCAGTGTTGGTGGAGGTCTGGCCAGAGCCCCACAGGCTCTGGGCGTGTGGAGCACCTGGGGCCGGGGAGGTGGGCTGAGGTTAGAGGAACCGGGAGGGGGGACAGGGGACGCACTACGGACGGCATGGAAGCTCCCTGGGCCTCGGGCAAGCGGAAACATCTCCAAGGGGCTCGGGAGGATGCGCCGTGGCCAGCCCGGCCTGCAAAGGATGAGGAGGGGGTGGGGCTGGGGGATCCAGAGCCTGACTTCTGGGGTGGAAGCCTCTTGGACGGGGCGGGGCCGAGGCCAAGGTGGAGGGGCGTGGCTAGGGCAGAGGGGCGTGGCCTACATGGGGAGGCGTGGCCGATTGGTGGAGCTAGGTGGAGGGGCGGGGCCAAGAACACGGCAGAGGGGCGGGGTTAGGGTGACGAGGCGGGGCCGACGTGGGGAGGCGTGGCTGGTAGGCCGGGGTAGGATGGAGGCCTACATGGGGAGGCGTGGCCTGTTGGCAGGGCTAGGGCGGAGGGGCGTGGCCTAGTGGGGAGGCGTGGCCGGCTGGCGGGGCTAGGGCGGAGGGGCGGGGCCTCGGCTGTGGACATTTCCGGCCCTCCCGCTCAGGCCCCTGGAGCGCAGGTCACGCCAGGGTGGGTTTCCAGAGCAGCCCGAATGCACAGTTGGAACAAGCAGGAGAGGAAGACAAGCCAGCTAGGGCCTGGGTGACCTCTGAACCCCAACTGCGGTCCCCAGCGCAGAGGGGCGCGGGAGCTAAGAGGAGGCCTGGCTCCCCCTTCCCTCTCTCGGTCCTCTAGGCCCGCTGCGCAGTAAGAGCCTCGCGTCCAGGTCCCCTCTGAGCAGGCAGGGCCCGGGCCCGCCCTGCGTGAACGGGGGCGCGAGGGGGGGGACACCGCCCCTGCTCGGCTCCTCCGGCAAGTCAGGGCCACCTGAGCCCCAGATCCGCCAGGGCCCTTTGTCCATCTGGTCGGGATCCCGCCTTGCACCGGTGGCTTCTGACCACCTGATGGGCGATGGAGCTCTGGGCGCCTGTCTTCTTCACCGCCAGGCCTGGGTGAGGACGAGGACCCTCCTGGGGTAGACTTGTGGTAGTGGAGGCCCCACGGCCTCCACTCCAGGGCCGGTTCCCGGCCCGGGAATCCCGGCTGGAGCTTGGAAGGTGCTGGTGCTTTTCCCGCGACCCTGGGCGGCGCAGGCAGGTAGATCCTGGAGGCCTCACAGGCAGCCCTGGCACAAGGCCACCTGGCCCTTGAGGAAGTCTCGGCAGGGGCAGAGCCGCTCGTACTTGGTGCTGGCGCCCGCGCAGCTGAAGAGCAGCGGCTCCTTCTGCAGGTAGCACTCCTGGCCGGGCTGGGCCAGGGCTGGGTACAGGTGGTGCATCTCGCTCTCCGTGCTGTCGCAGGGCACCTGCAGCCTGCCAGGGTGTCACCAGTGTCACCAGCATCACCAGACGCTGCTCCCAGCCCGGCACTACCACCCTGCCCCGTGACTGGGGACATCAGAGAGGAAGACAGCACCCTGGAGAGGTTGGGGCGCCCCGGAGCCCACAGGGGAGATGCTTTTGGCAGTTTGCACACCAGCCAGCAGAGGCCCACGGCCACAGAGTGGGGTGAAGGCAGGGTGGGGCATGGCGGGCATGGCTGGGGGACAACACCCCTGGCTGTCTGGGCTCTGCCTGGAGGGGAGGGGTGTGATGTGAATTCACCCCTTCTCCATCCTTCCTGACTGGAAAACATTGAATATCTCCAGCCGGGCTGGGGGATGGGGACTGAGGCTGGGGTTCAGGGAGTAGGGAAACCACAAGGGGGCCAGGCAAGAGGGGGCGCCACTCACTTGAGGAAGGCTTCCTGGCTGTTGAGGAAGGGGAAGAAGGAGGGCTCGCAGATCAGCCCATGGTCCAGGCAGGCATCGGTGCAGGCTTTCCCGGGAGCGGCCAGCCAGGCACGTAGAGAGTGTGGAGGGGGCCAGGCCCCGGAGACTGAGCTGGCATTCAGGGCCCACTCGAGGTGAGTGGCATTGGGGGCCAGCACAAAGAGGCTCTGTGCAGGGTGGGACCCTGGAGAAGCAGGGGCAGGGGCTGCACAAAAGTCCTGGCAGGAGGAGAGCAGAGTTAGGGGCGGGGACACACAGATGTCCCCAGCTCCTGCTGCGGGACCAGCCCTGAGGTTCCAGTAGTAGCCACTATTGGGCACTTGCAGAAAACCACACAGCCTCATGCATTGTTTCACTATGGCCTCCCACAGGACCCCCACAGGAACCCCCCCCCAAGTATCCTGCAGGGAGGAACGGAGGCTCAGAGGTCAGGGTAGCTGTTCAGGGCTGGGGAGCAGAGGTAGGCCTTGAACTCCAAGCTGTCTGCAAGATGTCTGCTCTGCTCTGCCTCAATGTTTGGATCAGGCTCAGGTCCTCTACCCATAAGCCCCATCCACAGTGGGGCCCGGGCCTTGGGATGACCCCCGGGCTCAGCTCCAGAGGCCCCAGGCCCCAGAACATGCTATTCTGTGAGTGTCATGGATTTGTCCCAAAGATGACTGGGCACAGGGAGAGCAGGGCAGGGCCAGGACTTGGATGGCAGGTAGGTCACCTCCAGCCTCCCTCCCCAGATCTCACTGTGTGGCATTCTGAGCCGGGAAGAGAGCAGCTTTGAACCCGCCTGCCATGCAAGCCTTTCTCCCTTCCCCAGGACAGAGACCTCACTGCCCACCTGACTCATCAGCTCATCCCAGGCAATGGGGCCTGGGGCAGGGGGACTCCTGTACGCCCCACTTATTCAGTTGCCAAACTTGTCTTGAGACAGAATCTCCCTATGTGACCCAGGCCAGCCTGGAACTTGTGCTCCTCTGCCTCAGCCTCCTGAGTTCTGAGATTGCAGGCATGCCCCTCTGTGCCCAGCTTGTTGCCGAATTGCTAAAGAATGAAACGTGTGCACTGCTGTGTTTCCGGGCCAAGGTGGGGGTGGGGCGGGGTCGGGGCTCTGAAGCGGGACCCCATCCCTGAGCACGCGTGTTCTCTGGGCTGACACACGTCTGCCTGTCTGCACCCCTTCGTGGGGTGTGGGGCCGAGCTGTTTTCTGGGTACCGTAGTTTGCTGACTGCATGCCGGGAACTGACCCAGCTGCAACTGGGGTCTGGGCGGTGTGGGGTGGAAACCTCTTGCTCCAAGGCAGGCAACAGAGCGCGCCCCCACCTGGTGCTGGATGTAGGCGTGGATCCGCTCCAGCATTCCCTGGCAGGTGTACTCATAGGGCAGGTAGGGGTCTACCTGTGGGAGAGACGGGCAGAAGCATGGGGCAGGGGGGAGCTGGTGCGGGGGTGCCCACCACACCAGGATGGGCGGAGAGCTGGTTGGCCCAGCCCAGGGAGTCAGCCACCCTGCTACCTGGCCCACTACTCAGGTGGGAGTGCTGTTGCTCAGTACTCCCTCCAGGGCGACTCAGGGACACACACTCAGGACCCAGGAAGTCCTGCACTCTGCGCACTGTGTGCTGGCCTCATCCTGCCCAGCTCTCTTGCAGCTTCTGGGCACCTCTCTCCTTTGTAGAGCCCAGCTCTCCTCAGGGGCTGAGGCGCCCCCTTTCCCTGGCCCAGCCCCTTCCCCTGGCCTGACCCCCTTCTCCCGCCCAGCCCCTTTCAGACCCCACTTCCTGTGACAGAACCACATTCATCAGTGGCTCCTGGAAGCCCAGCCTTCTTTCTTCCCATCCTAGGACCAGACTAGCACCCGAGTCCTCACTTCCCATTTCTCTTCTTTGCAGGCGACTGTGGGTACCTTGGGGTTGCCTGGCACTGAGTCCCTGGTGCCCAGCACCAGAAGCTCAGGAAATGATTATGGAGTAAAAAACACATCCTCAGCCCTGCCCGTGTCCTGCCCAAGACGTGGAGAATTTGAGGAGGGACCAAGGGCAGCTCCAAGTCAGACAGGACTAAATAACTCTTAGAAGTCACTGCCCCCAGAGCCAGGCATCAGTGGCTCACACCTGTAATCCTAGCTACGCAGGAGGCTGAAATCTGAGGATCACAGTTCAAAGCTGGCACAAGCAGGAAAGTCTGTGAAACTCTTATCTCCAATACACTACTTAGAAAAGGCCAGGAGTGGTGCTGTGGCTCAGGGACAGTGCCCAGGCCCAGAGTTCAAGACCCAGGACCAGTGAGAGAGAAAAAGAAAGAAAGAAAGAGGGTGGGGGGGAAGGAGGAAGGGAAGGAGGGAAGAAAGAAGGAAAGAAGGAAAAAAATCAACCACTGCTCCTTTACTTTGAACATAGCTCATGGCTGCACTGGAACTTAATTTTTTTCTCATTATAAAATATTTTAGCTGGAAGTGGCGCTGTAGCTCAAGTGGTAGAGCACTAGCCTTGAGCTGAAGAGCTGAGGGACAGCGCCTAGGCCCAGAGTTCAGGCCTCACGACCGACCAAAATAAATAAATTAATTAAAATATTTTCTCTAGTTATAAAATATTAATGATTTACAATGTATTTTACATTGTAAACTGATGTGTGTGTGTGTGTGTGTGTGTGTGTGTGTGTGTGTGTGTGTGTGTATGCGTGCTCACATGCTAGTACTTGGACTTGAACTCAAGGCTAGCGTGCTGTTCCTTAGCTCTTTTTGCTCAAGACTGGCCCTCTATCACTTGAGTCTCAGCTCCACTTTTGTTTTGTTTTCTGGTTAATTGGAGTTGTTAGTCTCAGGGACTTTCCTGCTTACGGCTGGCTTCAAACCTTGATCCCCAGATCCCAGCTTCCTGAGTAGCTAGAATTATAGGCATGAGCCACTGGTGCCCAGCAGGTATTTCATTCTGAAAAAAGAACGGTAACAACTCATTCCCAAACGAAGGCTGCATGCCATGTGTCTAACTGTCTCCTGCTGACACGGCAGCTCATGCCAGGGCAGGAGAGTTGAATCGTGGGATGCAGAAAGCCAGGAGGACAGAGAGAAGGGATGGTGGGAAGGCAGTGGACAGCATCTTCCCCCTGCTTTTTCATAACTGATCAGCCCCTTCCTGCCCCTTCCCCCTTCAGGCCCAGCACAGTGCCAGCTTGGAGGAGACGGATGAGGAGAGGGGCGGACTCCTTTGCCAAGCCAGGCCTGCAAGGCCGAGTGCTGGCTTCCATTTTCTAATATCTGATGAAACCCGGCAGTGGGTGGCGGTGACCGGGTCTGAGGCTCACCTGGGTCTTCATGATGGCCTTGATGGCCGCTTCAAACTCCTCCGAGTTGTTGTAATCCACGGTCCACACGTGGGGCTTGCCGATGAAGTTCTCTGCGTAGGGATGCTGGGAGAAGACCTGGTGAGGCAGACAGGTGTCTGCTTCTCCCTGTGCCTGGGCTGGGCGGGACTGAGGGAAGGCCCTCCCACCCGGGTGCCTCTTCTCCCCTGCCCCACACCTTGGAGTCCCCAGTCCCGGCTGGAACCCTGGCACTCACCTCCCTGGAGGTGGGTTTGCCTCGAAAGAACTCATGGTTGAGGGAGCTGTGCGGAGGGCTGAACCGGGACTGCAGGAAGATGCAGCCATTGGCGATGGCCTCCAGGGGAGCTGGGCCCTCGTAAGGGAAGCCGAACCCTATGAAAAGCTGAGACAGCCAGGTGGCACAAGGTCAGTCCGTGAGGGCTGGTCCAGCAGGCAAGGCTGGGGGGGGGGGAAGGGCACCCACAGGAAACCACGGAGACAGTAAAGATGGCCCAAACTATGGCAGGCCAGCAGACCCTTCTCTTCCATTCAAGGGCCTCCCTGCTGGCAGGATGCCTCATGAGTGCCCTGGGGTGGCAGGGCACGCTGAGGGAAACCGTGGAAGTGGCAGGCCGGCAGGCACCTGTGGGGTGGGACTAGGCAGGCGGCTGTGGCTGGCTGGCGGGCTAGGCAGGCGGCCGGGCTAGGGCAGGCAGCGGGGACTCACTTTGGCCTTGCGCAGCAGCTGCTGGAACTCCGGCTGTGGCAGGAGGCCGTGGTTCTTCACGAAGGCCGGGACCTCGGGCGGCCGCTGGCTGTCGTAGTACACAGTGCCATGGACCTCCATGTACTTGTTGAGGATGTTTAGGAATTTCTCCTTCCCCTGGAGGAGACGGAGGACGAGGTGAAGCCTCAAGCCGAGCTCAGAAGGCAAAGCTTGTAGAGCAGATAGCCCTGATCTGGGGGTGTGTGTGTCAGAAGCTGGGGCGCCGGGACCGTGGCACACTGTACGGTCCCTGGGGACACCTCTCCTCTGGTCTTCTGCAAGGCCTGGATGAGCCCGGAGGCTTTGGTTATTTTTAGTTGCGGAAGAACTGTTTTTCCAAAGGAGCCCAACAGCACCAGTGTTCAAATAGATCCAAGAGGAGCTGCTGGGCCTCCTCTTATCCCTGGTGACCACAGGACTACTGGGGAGTTGTGGGGCTCTCTGGAGCCCAGTGCGCTGTACACCCCTCCAAGCATCCACCCACTTATCCATCTATCCCTCCACTTAGCCATCTGCCCCTCTACCCGCCCACTCACCCATCCGTCCATATATCTATCAACCTACTTATTCATCCATCCACCCATCATCCATCTATCCATCCATCACCCATCCATTCATCTACCCACTTATCCATCTATCCATCTCCCTATCTACCCATCCAATTATCCAGCCACCCACCCACCCACCCATGTACTCATCAATCCATACACTCATCCATCCATCCATCCATCCATGCAGTCATCCATCCACCCACTTCTTTCATCTTTTTCAGGGGATCCTTGCATTAGTACTTTGGATTAAAAACCTACAGACTTATCTGGAAGAAAGACAGACCAGAACTAGAGTGGCTCTTGAAGGAACCTAATACATTTACGGTTGGTTCAATCACTGTAATTGTTTAAACTGACCAGGTGCACACACAAATATGTGTGCTTCTAGGGCCTTAGTAGCAGCCAAGAATAAAAAGAAATCCTCTCTGGAAACAAAAGGCATGATCTTCAAAATCAAATTATTTCTATAATTTAATCATATTGATTTTCCAGTACTCAAAAAAAATTAACCCATGAGATGCTACACAAAATCCCAGCAAGCTTTGCTGTAGATGTCAATTCTAAACTTCACTGGGAAATAACCAAAGACATGGAAAAGAAGAGCTAAGTTAGCAGACATGATGCCTGACCTCACGACCCATTCTACAACCACCAGGGTGCAGACAGTGTGCTCCTGCCATCGGGTTAACACGAGGGTGCAGACAGGGCCCCAGTGGCTCAAGCTGGTGATCTTAGCAACTCAGGAGACTAAGATCTGAGGATCATGGTTCAAAGTTAGCCCAGGCAGGAAAGTCCATTAGACTCTTATCTCCAACAAACCACCAAAAAGGCAGAAGTGGAGCTATGGCTCAAGCCCTGAGTTCAAGCCCGTGGCCAACAAGAAAAAAACAACAACATGACTTATAAAACTAGATTATGCAGTGAAAAAAGTCAAACCAAGCCGGGCACTGGTGACTCATGCCTGCAATACTAGCTACTCAGGAGGCTGAGACTTGAGGATCACAGTTCAAAGACAGGCCAGACAGGAAAGTCTGTGAAACTCTTATCTCCAACTAATCACAGAAAGAGCCCAAAGTGCTACTGTGGCTCAAGTGGTAGAGCACTAGTCTTGAGCAAAAAGCAGCTCAAGGGCAGTGCCCAGGCCCAGAGTTCAAGTCCTAGAACCAGGAGAAAAAAATCAAATCAAGTGTGCAAGGTGTGAAGGCCATGTTGCAGAATCTCCGTTCACGTTCCTCATCATTCCCATTAGCACCTGCTAAGTTTCTAGTACCTTCCTCAGGCCTTCATATGCAGGGTAACAACCTATGATTCCTTTTTTATTTTTATTGTTGCTAGTCCTGGTGCTTGAACTCAGTGCCTGGGCACTGTCTCGGAGCCCTTTCTTGCTCAAGGCTAACACTCTACCACTTGAGCCACAGTTTCTGGCTTTTTAGTCATTCATTGGAGATAAGAGTCTCACAGTTTTTCCTGCCTGAGCTGGCTTAAACCACTATTCTCAGATCTCAGCCTCCTGAATAGCTAGGATTACAGCATGAGCCATTGGCGCCCGGATATGAATTTTGTTTAAAATACACACACTCATAGGCATGTGTACCCACGCACACCAGTGGGTTCATATTCTAGGCCCCGGCCCCTCCATACCTAGGGTCACAGGTTCCAGGAGGCAGAATCCACTGAAACACAAAACGTACACAACAGACACAGTCCCTCATACTTCACATCGTCTCCATATTAAGTCTAGGGGATGACCAGGGAAAAGCTGTCCCATTTTTCAGTACAGAACACTTTTTTTTCGAATACTTCCTCCATCTGTAGTTGGTTAGATCTGTGGATGTGGAAGCCACAGATACAAATGGCTGACCAGGTGCAGAACACAGGTCACTTGATATAAGAGGGTAAGTTTCAAGTTTCTCTACTATATATTCAACCCACTATGTGTGTGTGTGTGTGTGAGAGAGAGAGAGAGAGAGAGACAGACAGACAGACAGACAGACAGACAGACAGACAGACAGAGCACTGGTCCTAGAACTTGAACTCAGGGCCTGGATGCTGTCCCTGAGCTCTTTTGTTCAAGGCTAGCATTCTACTACTTAAGCCATAACTTCCAGCTTTTTTTTTTTTTTGCCAGTTGTAAGGCTTGAACTCTGGGCCTGGGCGCTGTCCCTCAGCTCTTCAGCTCAAAGCAAGCACTCTACCACGTGAGCCACAGCGCTACTTATGTTTTCCGTGGTTAACTGGAGATAAGAGTCTCATGGACTTTCCTGCCCTGGCTGGCTTCAAACAGCAATCCTTAGATCTCAGCCTCCAGGGTAGTTAGGATTACAGGTGTGAGCACCAGCACCCTGCTCACTGTTTTTGACTGCACTGTTCTGGTAGACTCCTTCACATAGAAGAGCTGGTTGGGGACCTCTGGGTGGATTTCACTAGTTGCCTTGACGCAGAGACGTCTGTCTGGAATGCTTGCTATGAGAGATGGCGTGCCCAGAGCTGATGAAGTGGTCTCTCCTGCTGCCCTCAGTCTCCCCATGCTCCTCATCCTCACTCCTGTACCCAGGGATCTGTTCTCTAATAGAACAGCCCCTAAGCCATAGGTCCAGGCTGTTTCTGGGGGAACTCAGAAACACCGGCTCCGGATGCCCCGTTCGGCTCTGGCTGGGTAAGGACACTGGGTGGCCTCTCACCCGCCCTCTCTCTCTCCTCCCCTTGGGGCTCCCTGGTCCCTGAACAGCAGCCCGCATGTGTTGCAGGGTGCCCACCGCTGTAATTTTTCTCTTCATCCAGCCACCTCTGATTGCCTTCGGCTACAGACACAAGGCAAACATGTTTTCTGCAAAGTGGTTTCTTGGAGATGTCTTGCTGAGCAGGCCTTGCCAGGCTACCACGGAAGCCAGAGAGGGGACCTTTGCCTGGCCCAACGCCAGGGTCTCCGTATCTCTCTCCCCACATTTTTTTCCTCTCTTTCTTCTCTCCCCCCCCTTCAGTTTCCTGCTTCCTGGGTTTGTTTTTTTTTTGGTTGGTCATGGGGCTTGAACTCTGAGCCTGGGCGCTGTCCCTCAGCTCTTCAGCTCAAGGGGAGCATTCTACCACTTGAGCTACAGCTCCACTTCCAGTTTTTCTAGTAGTTTATTGGAGATAAGAGTCTCACAGACTTTCCTGCCCGGGCTGGCTTTGAACCATGATCCTCAGATCTCAGCATCCTGAGTAGCTAGGATGACAGGCGTGAGCAGTGTGTTCAGTGACCTCCTACTTTACCCTCCCCAGCCCAAGACTTCCAGCTCTCCCTCTCCCTCACCGATAGCCATCATGATGGACATCTGCAAGAATCATCTCTCATGCGGTGATGCCACCAATGGGCATTTATCCCAAAGATGACAGACAAGACACAGTGAAGACTTGCACATGCTCAGGGGTAACATGGTCATGGTGACAGTCACCACCACAGCAGTGGGAAGGCCAAGAAAGGGGGAGGGCACATGGGAGCACTAGACCCTGGCCTGCGCGCTGCCTCGATGCCCTCTATAAGATACACTCCCCCCCCAATCTCTCTTCTCTCCTTCTTCCACAGAGAGCCCAGGATGAGCCGGGCACAAGGCTGAGTCCTGTAAGCCCTGGTTCGACCACACGATGACTATCTAATGATCAAGAACACCATCTCTTGAATTCACTAATTTCTGAGTTTCCGGTGACATTTGGGTCTAACCCTGACCAGTAAATCAGAAGCAATTATTATATTAGATGGTCATGTAACTGGCCTGATGTGGGGCATAGGTACCACCGAGTCTCCTGTTAGCAGGTCTATTATTGACCTCTGTCCTTCTGAGCAGCTGCTCTGTGGCCATGCCAAACAGACTCCGACCAGTGGGAAGCTGCCTCTCCCCTCACAGAGAGTACCCCATCTCCCCACCTTGGTCCACCCAGGATGAGAACCGCCAAGGGAGACCCTCCCCTACCCAGCTGCCGTTGGAGAGGCCAAGGGCGCCAGACAAACGGTTTCCATACCTGTAGCTGCCTCATCGCCAGGGGAGCACAGGGAACAGAGGAGAGAGAGCCGGTTAGTGCCGGATCGTTAGCAGGCTTCACCCCGTGCAGGCTTTCCAGAGACCCCACTCTCCTCCCATGGACCCCCCCCATTCCCAAGCCCCTCTTCCGGAACTCCCCTCACTTAGACGGAGGGTTGGAAGGTCAGTCCTTCAACAAGTAATCATCTGAGTTGACTATAAACGGGGGCAGAGAGGGACAAGTGTGGGCTTCGGGGCTGGGGGGGTTCTTTAAATGGCAGTTGGGGACGCGGGGGACATTTTCAATCAATCGCACAGGGCACACAGAAGCTGGTTCTGGAAAGAGGTGCTGGGGACCTGGTACAAGGAGGGATCCAGCAGCTTTCTGCAGCTGAGCTGGCCCTGCCCTAGCGGGGGGGGGGGGGGGGGGGGGGGGGGGGGGGGGGGGCGCGGGGGGGGGCGGGGGGGCTGCGAGGGGCGTGGCCTGAACGGTGTGTGGGCGTGGTCCAAATGATACATCCGTAGTCTTGAGTGGCTGCACTGGTGGGGGCGTGGCCCTTACGGATGGGTGTGGTCACCGACAGTGGGCGTGGCCTCCCTGGCATGGGCGTGGCCTCCCTGGCATGGGCGTGGCGGGCACCTTGGTAGCCACGCCCATGCTCACCTTCCAGATACTGGCCTCCTTGCCATACACCACGGCCATGTTGCTGGCCTTGCCGCCTTTGATGAGCTGCTTCTCGGTCTCGTTGAGCTCCTCTGACACGAAGCCCATGAAGGAGTTGTCCGGGGTGTGCGCTGCAGCCCGACCACACGGAAGGGAAGGGGGTTACCAGATTGAGGAAACTGAGGCCCAGGGCCCACGTGACCCGGCCGGGACTTCACATGCCACCTGTAGTTCCATCTTGGGGGGCCTCCCTTCCTCAGTCCGGAGGGCGCCTTCCTCCAGCTCCATCCCCGTTACACCCCTGTCTCCCCTCTCTAGACCCACCCACTTCGGTTCATCCTACCAGGTGCTTCCTGTGCAGCACACCCCACACCCCGGAGCACCCCACAGACCTGCGTGGCCCTGAGCAGAGGGCTATGCTAGGGTCCCCCTCCCGCCCCCCGTCGCTCACCGCTCCCTTCCCCTGCCACCACACTCCTGGTGCATTATGTGCAGACTTTATATTACGTGTTTATCTGTTCTCGTCTTCCTGTCAGAAGAAAGAGAGGAAGGCGGCAACTCCCAGGTCCTTCTGGGTCCCCAGCATCATCGCAAGGGCCTTGGGCAGGGAGGACCCACGACATCTCTCAACACGTGTCTGCCTGGATGGCGTCTCCCTCCTCTCCTTGGCTGACAAACTCCTCAACTCCTAGTCTGCCGCAGAGCTGCCTGCGCTGTCCCCTCCTCCTAGAGGGCTCTTGGGATCCACAAGCCCTCGGGTTCCACCTGCTGTGTCGCAGCCTCTGCGACAGTGGAGGCCGTACACGGGCCTTCTGATCTGCCCCGGAATCCCACGTGTTTTATGTCCTCATCCCCTTCCCTCCTGGCTTGTGCCAAATCTACTCAGTCACAGCAGGAGTGAGGTCTTATGCCAGCAAGGCACCAAGTCCCTGTCCTCTAAGTGCTTAGACTTCAAATTAAGTATTTATTGAATCCAATTACACTGCGCCTACCAGTGTAGGCGCGGTGTACCACGGAAGAGATGCGGGGAGCAAGGGTTGAAATCAACCACATATTCTCCATTGCTCAGCACAATCTGGATGACAAACCCATTTCCCCACGTCAGGTGCCCGTCATCCACATTTTAACACTTCTCAGATTGGGACAAATGTGCTAATCACACGGGTAGATTCGGTGTGGTCATACCACCCCTGAAGGTCCGCAGGGAGTCCTGAGCTATGTCTGGGATATATTAGGAAAGGGGAGCCTGGCGCCGGTGGCTCAGGCTTGTAATCCTGGCTACTCAGGAGGCTGAGAGCTGAGGATCCCGGTTCAAAGCTAGTTCTGGCAGGAAAGTCTGTGAGATTCATATCTCCAATTAACTATTGAGAAACAGCCAGAAGTGGCCCTATGGATCAAGCTAGCCTGGAGCACAAAGAGACTCAGGGACGTGCCCAGGCCGAGTTCAAACCCCAGGACCAGCAAAAAAAAAAAGGGGGGGAGGGAGGCTGGTTACCATTCAAGTGCCCCACCCCTCCCCTAAAGTTCAGGATTCTTGGGTCTGAAAGAATCACTGTTAAGAATGGCCTTCACTGGTTAGAGAAACCACCCCTTCTCTAGCTGGGGGGCTGAGGCAAGGCCAGCTCTGCTGTCCAAAGAGGCTCCGCCCAACCCAGACAGAGGCCCCTGGAGGGCTCAGGTGCTCCCAGCCCATTGGCTGCCTCCCCACTCTCTCCCTCCCCTCTGGGGTGTGGCCACTAGCAGTAGGCCTGGTCTCCACGGCCCTCGCCTCTCTGTCTCTGCTGTTTCCCTGTCTTTTGGCCTGGCTGAAGAACCATCAGGAAATGCGTCTTCATTCCACCAACCCTACTGGAACAGACAGATTTAGAACACAATTAGCTGAACTACTGGGAGTGGGACAGGGAAAGATGGCAACCAATTAAAATCTCACTGGGACCATTAAGCAAGAAGCTCTGGGGACAGGGCAGGGGTAAGGCCTAGAGAGACCCAGGCAGCCAGTGTCTCGGTCCAACACCCCCCCCCAATCCTGCGTGCCCCCCCCCCCCACAACCCGTTAGCTCACTGGGGCAATCAGCCAGCTAGGCAGAAACAAAAAATGTGCAAGAAAATTCCTTCTCAGATTCTGAGTCATGAACACTGGTGAGCTCAGCTCTCGGTTCTCGCCGCACCCCCTTCCCCTCTGGGATTTATTCAACCAATTAACATTCTCTGAGGATCCACACAGGCTCCAGAAAGATGAAGACAAAAAGTCGTACTGGTGTTTTGTTTTTTAGAGAAAAAAAAAAACAAACGGGCTCATCATCCATCAGGGAAATAAGTACATACAGCAATCACTGATACACTTGAATAGAGGCCTTTACTCAGCTTGGTTTATGAATCGGTGGCTCACGCCTGTCATCTTAGCTACTCAGGAGGCTGAGAGCTGAGGATCGCCGTTTATAAAGCTAGCCGGGGTGTGTGTGACCTCCACTCCCGCCCCCCCCATCTGCAGTTGGCCAGGAAAACATGCCCCCACAGTAATGTTCTCAAACCTGGTGTTGGGTTCATGCTGTAACCCCAGCACCAGGGGGCTGAGGCAGGAGGGTTGTGAGTTTGAGGCCGGCCTGGGTTGCATGGTGAGACTTCTTGTCTCAAAACACATTTGCTTCTCCTCCATGACATGCTCTAGCACTAACATCTACAGTAAACCCTAAATGCAAGCTCCAGAACTTTCCTTGAAAGACCCTAGTCCTCTGCCCCCGGCCTCCCAGGACTGACTTACTGGCCTCCTATCCCACCCCTTTCCTTCTAGGTGTGCTCAGTACCCAAGGCTCCAGCTCGAGCTTTTCCTCACCCCCACCCAGAGAAGCCCCCTCCTTTCCCCTCTAAACCCTTTCCTTCCAAAACCCAGTCCCCTGTGACCCCCCTCCCACTCAGCACAGTGAGAAGCCTCCTGCAACCTTGCAACAGACGCTGAGGAGGAAGTCTGGTGCTCAGAAAGCTGTGTGACTTCAGGCAGAGTGCTCTACCTCTCTGAGCCGCAGTTTTCTCACAAACCTTCTCTACCTTCCCTACCCTTCTGGGAGCTAATCAAGCCATTACTCCGGCATTTCCATTAACACACACACACACACACACACACCGCTCCCACAGCCACACACACCTTCAATGCAGCCTAGAACCTAGAGGAGAATTAAAAAGAACAGTCTTGGCACTCAGAAGAGAGGCCCAGCGCTTGACAGGCTAAATAAAGATCATGTGCTTTTCTTCCCAGCAAGTGCCTGGAGACTCTGCTCAGAACCTACTTTGCTCTTAATTTAGATACAGTTCTAGCCAGGGTGTTTATCTGCCTTCCTGACCTAAAGCCTTCAAAGAACTGAAAATCTGATGTGCTGGCGGGGCGCTGCAAAGCGGAGGAGCTAACTGCGGAAAGTGACAGCTGCTGGACTGCAGCCGGAGCCGCGGGGCTCCGCACACCTCCTCCGGCCCTCGAGAACCGGCTCGCGCGCCAAGAAAAGGCCGGCTGAGCCGGGCACAATGGCTCACGCCTGCAGCCCTAGCTACTCAGGAGGCTGGATCTGAGGATTGAACCTAAGAGCCAGCCTAGGCCAGGCAAAACTGTGAGACTCTGAGCTCCAATTAACCAGCAAGAAGCTAGGAAGGGCTGGAGGTGTGGCTCAAGTGGTAGAGCATCAACCGTGAATGCAAAAGCTGAGAGCATGAAGTCCTGGGTTCAAGTCTAGTACCAGCGTGCGCGCGTGCGCACATAGACGCTAAGTCATTTTCAGTATGCTATACTTAAGTGGGTTGGTCAAGGCCAGGAACACCAGCTCATGCCTATAATCCCAGCTGCTAAGGAACCTGAGATCAGGAGGATCACAGTTCCAGGCCAGTTGGAGCAAAAAGCTATCAGCCAATATCTGAACGTGGTGGTAGATGGCTGTGGTCCCAGGTAAATGAGAAGCATAAACAGAAGGATCAAAGTCCAAGCCGGGCGCTGGTGGCTCACGCCTGTAATCCTAACTACTCAGGAGGCTGAGATCTGAGGATCGCGGTTCAAAGCCAGCCCGGGCAGGAGAGACCGTGAGACTCCTATCTCCAATAAACCACCAGAAAACCGGAAGTGGCGCTGTAGCTCAAGTGGTAGAGCGCTCGCCTTGAACTGAAGAGCTGAGGGACAGTGCCCAGGCCCAGAGTTCAAGCCCCACGACCAACAAAAAAAAAAAAAAAAAAGAAGGATCAAAGTCCAAAGCCAGGCCCAAGTAAAAACTCAAGACTCTATATATGAGAAATAATTAAAAGGACTGGGGGCACGGCTCAAGTGCCATAACATCTGCCTGGCAGGCCCTAAGTTCAAATCCGGGTACTGCCAGAAAACATTAAAAAGGTGCCTGTGTATTTCAGAGTCTCATTACAAATCACACGTGCCCGGCTCTCCAGCAGTCTGGCCTGAAGGCCTCTGTCTGTAGATTCTGCCCCAGACTCCGGCCACCCCGGCATGGGCCTCACTTCCCACTATCCCCAGTACTGGACCCTTCCTGAGGCCTCAAATTTCTAGAACCTTCTAGATATTTCCACATCGTCTTCACCACCTGTTCTGCTTAGAAAGCCATCACTCCCTTCACTCCTGCCCGTGTTTTCTGGCTCACTCCGGCAGCCCCTCCGTGACTGCCCTGTGAGTTCCCCCACCCGGCCCTATTCTGGGCAGCGTCTGTTGGGGGGCTTGCTGAAGGGATGGGGTACTGGGCCTGGCAGGCTGCATGCCCCCACCGATCCTGGGGGAAGGAGGCCCGGCCCCCTGCGTGCTCCCAGGCCCCCGGGGGCGGGGAGGGGGGCTCCCGCCTCCCGCCGTGCCCAGCACTCACGGAACATGGTCATAAACTGCTTGGGGTTCAGGTTCCAGTAGCCCCAGTTGGTCCGGTAGCCGTGCAGCGTCGCATACTCCTCGTGATTGTACGCTGGCTCCGTTCCGAAGGTGTCAATGACCCGGATCCGGCACCTGTCCCCGGGGACCGGGAACCAGGTCACACGTGTGTGTGTGGGTCCCTGGGGGGGGGGCTGTGCCCCCACCACGGGCACTGTGGCCAGAGAGGGCGGCTAGGTCAGGGCGGTGCCTGGGCTCAGACATGGCCGTCTGTGTGACCACAGCAAGGGCCTTAACCTCTCTGTGTCAGTGACCATCTGTCTCAGCCCAGACTCCCGGGGTGTCATGGCTCCACCATGGCCTTGGACCCCCTGATCCGTGCTCAGTAGTAGCCACTAGCCAGTGAGGGGGGAACTGCTAAGGGGTCCCCTGCCACCCTTGGGGTCCCCTGTGGGACTCTCGGGGTGGGGAGGGGCTGTCCCTGAGTGGAGGTAGTGGGAAGATGTGGGACACAGGTCTGGAATCCTCCGGCTCTGCCCCTTGCTCCTGTGGGATCGGCCACCCCAGAGTCCAGAACTCCCTCTACACTCCTGCGCATCCGGCCCTGGCTTGGCCTTTGAAGACACCCCCACAGGAAGCTGCTCGCCTCCCGCGTCCTTTGCTAGAACCCAGATCGCTGCCTCCAGTGTGCTGAAGTCAGCAGATTGGGGGGGGGGGGGGGGAGAGCACGCCGCGTGGAGATGGAGCTTTAATAATAAAAGCAATAAGGCTGCCTGTCACTTCTCCCCCCTAATAAAGTCACCAGGGCTAGTCAGTGGGACTGCAGGAAGCATAATGAATAGCAGGCTCTGGGCGAGATTCAACCCCAGCCAGCCAGCCACCCAGACACAGGCTGGGTGCAATGGGACAGGGCTTTCTCCAGCTGCAAGGGGGGATCAGGCGGGGTCCCCAGGCCGCCCGAGGTCTCCATGGAGAGGTCACAGCCTGGGGGGGGAAGGGTGCTGCCCCCCCGCCCCGCTCTGGGCTGGCGGTCTTCTAAGTTACCCCAAGGTAGGGCTGGATGAGAGGAAACGTGGGCTGAGCGGAGGACAGAGCAGGGCGGACTGGACGGACGAGGGCGGATGGGGACGAGGGCGGTGCTCTGCTGCAGAGGGGGGGAGGGGCCCCACCCTGCCCCGTCCTCCCCCTCCCCCACTGGTACTTTGTTTTTTGCCGGTTGTGGGGTCTGGGCACTGTCCCTCAGCTCTTCAGCTCAAGGCTAGCACTCTACCACTTGAGCCACAGCGCCACTTCCGGCTTTTTTCTTTTTGCTTATGTGGTGCTGAGGAATCAAACCCAAGGCCTCAGGCATGCGAGGCAAGCGCTCGACCACTGAGCCACCTCCCCAGCCCCTTTCCCAGGCCTCACCGGTACTTCTTGAAGGAGAGCCCCATGTGCTGCTTCATCTGCTGCAGGCCGTGGTAATCGGTGTAGATGAGGTCGAAGGGCAGTGGCATGGTGAGCGGGCAGCTCCCCCGGCCTGGCGGTACCCCTAAGTTACTGAGAGAAGAGTCCATCAGAGTCTGAGCCCCAGAAGCGCAATGCCCCATCAGCCAGCCCTCCCCTGGTGTGTGGAGGGAGGGGAGCTCAGGGCGGCTCCTGCAGGGCGGAGGGAGCCCTGGGCCCCTCCTGTCTAGCCTCCCAAACCCCACAGGGGGAGAGAAGCCTTCCACCACCACAACCCCAGCTCCATCTGCAGGGCAGGGTGGGCCAGAGAGCAGCGCGTGGGCCCTGGGCACACAGCTGTGAAGTCTGCCCCAAGGCCGGTGGCTTCCCAGCCCTCCTTGCCCGTGGCCTGGCTCACTGCGTTCAGCACACCCTCCTACACACGTGTTGGGTACCAGGCCTGAACCCCATGAGAGCCACGGGAGAGAGCACACGTAGGCGGGGGGGGGGGGGGGGGCGGCAGAAGATTCCTGCTGGAGGAGGGAGGGCCTCCAAAGGAGGGGAGGGAGCTACGGGAGCTGGGGTGAGGGGAGGTGGCATGGAGGGTGGGAGGGGAGGGGGGAAGAGGAGAGGGAAGAAGCACCCCCCCCCGGGGGGGGGCTGAATGCTTCCCCCTCCTCCAGGGTCCGGCAGTGCGGATCGCAGCTCAAGGCAGAGGCGGCTCTGACGAGGACTTGGATCCACTGGTGTCCAGGAGCCGCAGTGGACGAGATCCCATGGTTGTGTCCCGGAAATAACTCAGGCCAGGTGGAAAAGTACTGGGGGTTGGGGGGGAGCTGCGCTGTGGGCCCGGTGTGCGCATGCTCCCGGATTAGGGGGGGTTGCCGGTGCATCTGGAAGAGCTCCCCACATCTGCTCTCCCCATATTTTCTGGGCAGCGTGGGTCCATCTTCCTTGGTTGATCCCCCTCTCCCACCACGCCCCTGACCCCGGCCCGGTCCTGGGCCCTGGAGGACAGGCGGGTGGCCGCAGGGCATGCTCTCTTGGGAGACCTCTTGTTTTCCGTGGCCTCCATAGGCCCCACCGCTCTGTGTTGAACCCACACGCCATGCTGTGTGCATCCCACAGAGTTCAACTCATGCCATCTTAGCAGCCCCCCTGTGGATCCGGCCCTCCCCATCTTCCTCCCCTTGACAGGAAGCAGAGGGGCCAGTCATTCACCGGGGCTCACACAGCAGCAGGGAAGGAGCGGGCCTGGGGGTGGAGCCCAGGCAGTGGGGTCCCAGGACACACACTGCAGCCAACCCGGGCAGGTCCCCAACGTCTACACCCTCATCTCTGGTGCTTATGGCAAGTAAAACGCCTCTGACACAGGGTCCCGGAAGCCAGGCGCCACGCGCTGTTCCGCTGTTCCATGTGGGAATCCCTGAATCCACAGACCCGTGGCTAACCCTGCCCCTGGCTGACAGGCCCCGGATCTGCACACAACCTGCTCTTTGGTCCTCCAGACACCCCGATCCGATCCGATCACGCAGGCCTTTCGACACGGCGACCCTGCGAGTGTCTCCCTGGGGTGCAGAGCCTCTCCCAGGTTCCCCATGGCCTCCCGAACCCACACGTGACCGCTCTGGGAGGCCCAGGACCCTGTATGGGTGGGCCGGGAATGAGCAGGGGTGGGCAAGGCGGGGCTGGAGGAGGGACACGCATGCATCACTAAGATGAGGTTTTGTGCCAGGCCCTCGGGCAGGGAGGGAGGCCCCATCTCAACAGGGCGCCTGGCACCTGCATCTGGGAGTGGCCATGGCTGCACCTGCTCGGAAAGCAGTCAACATCTTGACAAAACCAGAATGCTTCAGCTTGGGGAGAAGAGCGTGAGCCAGGCCAGCTGCCATCCAGCTGAGGCGAACCGGACAGACACCTCCCGCTCTGCCTCCCAGAGAGCACGTCCGGCCAAAGTTCAGGAAAGTTCCTCTCAAATCCCTCCTCCACATGCTGTGCCATGGCCTGGAAGGTCTTCTCACGTCTAGATTCTCACACATAGCCTCCTCTTCCGGGAAGCCTTCCCTGGATGCCTCCCTCCTCAGTGTCCCCCCCCCCCCCCCCCCCCCCCCGCTCCCCTTTGCTCCATCTCCTTCTTGGACACGCCCGGACCCTGTCTTCAATCACCACCTCTCAATTACAGGCTCCTTGAGAGCAGGGCCGGGTCCCATTGGAGGTTTCAGGGCTGAGAGCAGAAGGTGATCGCAACCGTCTCTGCAGTGCTCGGGACGGGCTTCACAGCGCAGGGCCAACTCCAGGGAACTCCATAATGAACGGGCCAGCCGCTCTGCGCGCTGTGCGGTGAGTGACACGCAGCAGGGAGGAGGTACCCCTGTGTCTCCCTCCCAGGGGGTCCCCCGCCCTGGAGGGGCCAGGAGTTCCAGTTGCAGGTGACTTCTCTGCGTGAGGCCGCAGGGTCTCCCTGCTCACGGTACCAGAGAGCCGGCTGCACGCGCCGCGGCCCCGGCCGTTTATCACCTGTAATTCAGCTTTGCTCTCACGGGCAATCTTACACTAAGTGACGGGTGAGAACCGAAGAAAACACATCCCAACAAGCTCCAGCCAAAGCGGGCTGGGGAGGCCCCGCACATCCCACCCGGGGCTCCCTCCAGAGACTGCAAGCTCCTTGGACCAGGGCACGGCCCCTGTGGACCCTTCACCGGGGCAGGGTCACAGGGAGGACCACGGAGCCCCCCCAAGAACTGGTGAGGAGACCCTGGCCCACCGGAAGGACGAGAGATGATTCAAGGAAGACTTTCCAGACTGGGCTGGGTGAGGGGGCACATGCCTGGAATCCCAGCTTCAAGACAGGAGGGTCATCATCCCAGGCTGGCCAGGGCAAAACCACGAGATCTAGCAGGGTGCCAGTGGCTCCCGCCTGTAGTCCTATCTACTGAAGATCCCGGTTCGAAGCCAGCCACCCAAAAGCTGAACATAGAGCTGTGGCTCAAATGGTAGAGCCGCCAACTTTGAATGACAGCACAAAAGCTAAGCGAGAGCAAGCCCTAGTTTGGGCATAAAAAAAAATAATAATAAAGAGAAAAGGAAAAAAAGAAAATGCATCTGTCCTCAGCTAGGATCCGCCATGCTAAATTCTGCCACAAGGTAAAATTCCCGGGGGTCAGGACCTCCCCATTCAGTGGCCTTAGGCCCTTGCTGGACCTGGGGTCTGGGTAGCTTGCTCAGACCATGCTCTGCCCTCTCATCTGCGTGAAAAATTCCCTGGTTTTATTTCTCCCTGTGCCTTAGGTTTGTGGCTAGAAATCATCTCCCAGGTAGAGATCAAATCCTGAAACAAACTATTCTCTCTCTCTCTCTCACACACACACACACACAGCCCCCCTCTTCCCTCCTTTGTGTAGGAAGGACCTCATTAAAATGATTTCCTACAAAGTGCTCAAAGATCGGTGGCTCAGCGCTAAGGCACAGCCCCCCTCTCCCCCCCCCCCCCCCCCCCCCGCATCTCTGCACCTGCTTCTCCCTGCTGGGAACACACAGCTGGGACAGTCTCATGGTTCTGTGCCCCCATCCCCCGCCCCCCTCCTGAGCTTCATGAACACAGCCTCGGCCCACGGCCAGAGCAGGCCACTGTCGGTTCCTCAGAGCTCCACGGCAGGGAGGAAGGGCCTGGAGATTTACCTGCGCATGAATGAGCCGGCAGGCAGCTGGGGGTAGGGATGGCAGATGAGGAAGCAGCTCTGCTCTCCTCTAAGAGCATCCTGGACCAGCTGAGATCAGCTCCCCCAAGGAGGAGGAGTAAGTGGGTCAGAGGAGAGGGGGTGCCAAGGCAGCTGTGAGCACATCTACCCCCAACCCCTCTTAGCCACAGTGACCACAGGAATCAGCAAGGGAAATCGAGGGAGCCGTGTGTCTCCACCCTGGACCTCATCCAAGGCTGATGCTTTCTTGCCCAGCGTTCTCTCTCCTGGTAAGCAAGATCGGGGCTAAGAATAGGGCTGGGGCCCCCAGGAGAGCAGAGAAGAGCCTCGGACCCAGCCGGGCCCGGCTGCTGGAAGAAGGGAACGCTGCATCTGCTTGCAGACCAGAGGCTTTGTATCTATCACCCCTGCCTGGTGATGCCGTCACCCCCAAGGCTTCTCTCGTGCCCACACGGCGCCTGCCGTGGCCCGAGGGGAGCTCTGCAGCCCCTGGGCTGTCAGAACCGGCCAGGCCGGCCCCGCTCTTCTTCCCGGCTACTGGGCCTGGCATTGGCGGTTTTCTCCTTCCAGTTCACAGGGAATGTTGCATAGCAGCTCTGGCTGTTCTGTCCAGCTCCACAACCTTCTTTCGGAACCTGCCCTGCAAGGACTTTCACAAACACAGGAAGGGCTTTGTGGGAGATCTGGGCTGAAGCGATGATCCCTCTGGAGTTCCCTGAGGGGAACTGGGCAAGGGGCACTGGGTCAGTCTCAAAAGCCAAGGGAGCTGGGCGCTGGGGGCTCACGCCTGTCATCCTAGCGACTCAGGAGGCTGAGATCGGAGGATCACCGTTCAAAGCCTTTGGGCAAGGAAGCCTCTGAGACTTTTATCTCCCATGAACCACCAGAAAACCGGAAGTGTGGGCTGTGGCTCAAGTGGCAGAGCGCTGGCCTTGAGCTGAAGAGCTGAGGGAAAGTGCCCAGGCCCAGAGTTCAAGACGCACGACTGACAAATAATAATAATAATAATAATAAAGTAACCAACTCAAAGGGGGATGGAGGTGTGGCTCAAATGGTAAAGTGGTAGAGTGCCTAGCTAGTAAGTGTGAGGCCCTGAGTTCAATCCCTAGTAGTGCAAAAAGAAAAAAGAAAGAAAAGAATAAGAAATCCCAAGCACCCAGAAAACTGTATCGAGTGGATAAGATCAAATCCTAGCCTGGTACACTTGTCAGACAAGTTTTCCCTCCTGGTCCCCTTATTTCAATATTTCTCTCTCAAGTTCCCGTCATGTGGCACTTAAGTCAACTAATTTTCTACTAAACCCAATTTCACTCATGGATAGAGGGAGAGCTCAGTCATTTCTCCTCATGCCATGTACTATTAATGATGCTTGAAATTATGCAAATAAAATTGACGAGCCCAGCTGACTCTCTGAAG